TCAAACATATGAGCCATTGTCTACCTTCTGCATTTGATGTGGTTCTGACCTACTCCAACTTTTCCTTAAAGTACTTGTCCTCAAGCTGTCGAGCAGCCTTCTGGAACAGATCAAAGTTACCCTTGACACCATCCTTCCGGAGTAGATTCTTGGCAAGGTGCCGAGTACACCAACGATGGTGCAACGGTGCATACCCCTCTATCTGCTCTCGCACGACATTAAGTATGCCCTGATGCCTATCAGATATGACGCCAACCTCCCTGCTAGGCCCAACCACGTGTATCCGGACTAGCCTCAAGAACCATCCCCAACTGTTATTGTTCTTCTTCTCAACCAAGGCAAATGCCAAAGGAACCAACTTGTTGTTCGCGTCACAGGATATGGCTACAAGAAGTGTGCCCTGGTATTTGCCAATCAAGAACGTACCATCAATGGAGAAGATGGGACGACAGTGCCTAAAGGCCTCGACACACTGAGGGAAGCACCAGAAGTCACGGAAGAATATCTGCCTCCCATCCTTCCATGCATTAGGTTTTGGGATGTACTCATAATGCATTCCTAGATTCACCGCTTTGATTGCATTGAAAAGAACTGGCAGCTGCTCATACCCATCCTCCTAGTCCCCATATATCATCTTCCACGCTCGCTGCTTAGCCCTCCATGCTTTACCATAAGTTATCACATATCCTCCATACAACGCTTCAACGGTCCTGATAATTGTCCTCACCTTCATGTTGGGTTCTCCCTACAAAATTCCCATCAACCACTTGGCAATGAGGGTAGATGTCAACTGCCGATGCCTCAGTGTCAGCTCATGGTCAGCATAATTGTGTGGCCCGACAACTTTTGTGATCTTCCATTTTTCGGTTACCTATTGCTTCCTTGCACAAACCCTCCACGGGCAGCGTTCCTTGTCACACACAACTGTGTAACGACGCTTCGCATATGAATGCAATACCCTATAAGGCCTCTTTCGTATCACTGCAAAAGCCTACAACCACCTCTTCAAAGCAGGGAGGTCATTGAACACCCTCCCATTCTCAATTACCATGTTAGGACCGGCCTCAGGAGCTTCTAGGAGCTCATCATCACATCCTTCTACAAATGCCTGATCGGAATGAGAAAGATCGCTGAACTCGTGAACTCTAGGATCACGGTGGCCAGGAAAGATATGCCTCATCATCTCAACATCACTCTTTGTCAGCTCTCCAACAGGGCGATCATCATCAGAATCAAGAGCCCTAGCCATCTCATATGGCTCTGAATCATGCATAATTTCAACACTATTTGACCCACGGAATCCATCTCCAAAGTGCACTTCCGCAGCAATAGGGGGCACATCCACATTCTTAGGAATGTCTCCTACAACATCATTACAGAAATGAGAAAAGAATAAAAGAAATAGATGTAAGGAACGGGGTAAGCTCCCAAAAATCATGCGGTTAAGACACTTACTCGGATGATTCTATGTCAAAGGGATCTCATAAGGAGGATCTACCACGGAAAAATGCATCTGATAACCATCTCCAAATACCGCATTGGGGGCAGATTGAGCATCGGGAACCGTAGGTGCAATCTGCACATGCAGGTAAGGTTCCAGAACGGGAGGGTCGATGTATGCCTGATGATCCATTGCTGGGGTAAACCCATGAGGGATGGGATTAACTAACACCCGACGCACAACCACGTCCAAACATTGCAGCTGGCTCTTCATAGCCGATCTTACATAGTTCTCCCACTGATCCGCACAACCAATTGAGATCATTCGCCTGAAGATGTTTGGAGGACAACCTAGGTGCAGTATACCATCAACTACAATGCCATCATCTTCAAGGCAATGCAGCTCCTCCCGAGCCCTTGCAACCATGTCACTAAATGAAGGCCTATCATTGAATAGCACAGGCACGCTTTGCATGTCAAGAAACTCAACATATCCATAGCGATCGCTTTCAACGGTGCCTCCATGATATATGGTCACTAGGTTGTCCATCTAATTCAAACACGTAATAAAACACATGTCCTTTAGTCCAAATTAGACGATAGATAGTACCTAACAAGTACTTTCTAACTATAAACTAAGTAATCAAGATAATAACTACATATATATTTACAGTGTACTCACTAAATAGCTAGATCATATGTAGATAACTAAAAATATAACTACATATCTAAGTAGCCATCTAACTATATCTATGTGCCTATGTGTCTATGTTTCTATCTATCTATCTATATATATCTCACTAGATCACTAACTAAATCAACTACCTGAGTCATCACATTAACTAATAAATAACAAATGCCAACTAAGTAGGTACATTGAATATTTATAATTTTTACCTTTCCGGGCCGGCGGACAATGGGAGTGGGTCAGGCCGAAGATCTGGGCCAGCGGTGCTACGGCAGACGACAGCGGTGGCACGCGGCGGGCGCGGGATGCCCGGGGCTACGCGCGGTGAGTCCGGCTCGATGGGCGCGGGAGGCACGCCGGCGGTGGACGGCGGCAAGGCGGGGCGAGGCCGACGGTGGAGGGCGGCAAGGCGGGCCACGGCCGAGGCCGACGGTGGAGGGCAAGGCGTGGACGACGGTGGAGGGCGGCGGAGGCGGCGCGGCGGCCAACCACGGCAACAACACAGGCAGCAGGGGCAGAAGCGCACAAAAGACGCCGAGGCACGGCGCGCAGCGAGGGCGCGCGCAGGGGCGGGTGGCCTCGGGCGCGCGTCTTGGGCACGGTGGGCGGCGCGCGCGCGCAGCGAGCGTCGCGTGCGCGTGTGGCGCGGGCGCGACGCGACGCGCTGGCGGCGGCGGGCGGCGGGCACTTGGCGGCACGGCGGCGGGCCGGGCTGGCTCGCACGGGCGGGCGGCGGCGCTGTCGCAGCGCGCGGCGCAGCGCAAGCGGCGCGCGCGCCGGGCGCGCGCGACAAAGGGCGGCGGCGGCGGCAGTGCTCGGCTAGGCCGAGAGAGAGGGAGAAGAAGAGAGGAAAGGCACGGGTCCGTTAGATATTTCCGAGCTCGGCGCCAGAGTGAATGGCGCCGAGCTCGGCGACATTCACTCTAGCGCCGAGCCCCTTGGCAGGTCTTTGACCGTGCCCAGAAGCTCGGCGCCGAGCTAAGGGTCTATTTTCTTAATTTTTCCGTCAGGATCTATTCGTGAGAAACTTTCAAAAAAAATGATCAAATTATAAAAAATTCGGACGGGGCGCAGGTATAGGATTCTAGAGTGCTGTTGGCTGTTCCTTGTGTTTTGGGCCCGGCTCGTTTGTTAGCTGTGATTGGAACACGATTTTTCTGCCCGCTTCATCTTCGTGCGTTTTAGGCCGCTCGAACCGGTTGTTGCCGGCCTTCAAATCACACGAAGGTGACAGCCCAAAACAAAAATCCTCCTTGTACTCTGTTTCTTCGTGTGGTCTTGATTTGCTCAGTGTGTTTGCATCAGATGCTATCACGTCTGCCATTAAACAGGTTCACAATGAGATTGATAGCAAAGCTCACCGGGGACGGGGGGTTGCATAGCAACCCCCGGCGTCATCAGTGATTCAGTACGCGCGGTTGGCTTTATCAATCTTTCTTTTTGACCCTTTCAAAAAAGCGACATTTTTGACCTAGCTGCATTGATATTATTACAAGCTATAGAACCGTGTAACTTAATCCCTCCGTTCCATAATATCCGTAGTTCTAGGATATATCACAGATATCAATGCTGAAGGTAAAAGACATCAGTGCCCCTACTTCCTCCATCCCACAAAGCCCCTCTCCGCCGCCTCCACCGCAGACGCCGTGTCGCCGCCACCACCCTCCCCGTGCGGTAAGCCATGGCCAACGCTTCCTTGTCGGCGGCAAGCCCTATCCGTGGCCAGCCCTTCCTCGCCACCGGCAGCTCCATCGGCAGAATCCCTTCCTCATCGGCTTCATCCATGGTCGGCAGCCCGAGACGTCCATACATGCATGACCTTTCCGCCGCCCTCATCCGCGACCCTCCCCACGTCGAGCGCTGTGGACAAGGAAGGAGCCAGATCTCGGCCGCCCCAACGTCGCCTCCATGCCAGTCGCTTCACCCGACCGCTCCACCTACACCTCCGCGCCAACGAAGAAGAAGGGGGCGACTGACAGAGGATGCGAGGGAGGAGGGCGAGGGCCGGCCTCCTGCCGACGAAGGAGAAGAGGATAGGAGGACCACTGGCAGAGGATGCAATCATGCCCTAGTAGTGGAGAGGGGGTGGCGACAGGCGCCGGTGGAGTGAGGGTGGCGACGGGCACTAGCGAGGAAAAGGGGTGATGGGCATCAACGGGGGGTTGGCGACAGGCGCCAGCTGGGGTGGCGACGGGTTGAGGGAGGGGAATGACGAGATGGGTGGGGGCGAGTGGATGAGTGGTGGTAGGGGCAAAGGGATAAGGCTGAGTAGAGGGCACGGTTGGTCTCAGGTAGGACCCACGCCTACAGTGACACTCGGTACTCTTCGTAGGACGGAGGGGAGTACTCATGTATATATCCATGGCATCAGAATGAAGCCTTACTCTCAAGGTAATAAATAGCGTATAGCGGGTTGGTAGCAGATTGGTGTCGAGGTAGCAGATTGTGGATAGCGGACGATATTGCGAATGATAAGTTCCAATAGTGGTACTTGATAGTCTCACATAATTTCAAATACATATATTATAAATAATAAATATAAATAGACATTTAATTGCACTCAAAGAACTGATGTCTCACATATTTAAATTAATAAAACAAACATGACGTTCCACGCATTAAATCATCACATTAAGAGTTTGCAAAGAAACATATTATTTGCTTTCACGCTACTGCGGCCTGCTACGTGCAATTGCGGCCTGCAATATCGCTTACTATTCAGAATTGCGGCCGTAAAGTTCTAGGTTATAAAGTTTAGAGCGCTACCTCGTAGCGATAGCACCAATAGGACATTACCGCTATTGCAGACGTAATTGCGGCCATTACCACCGCTATTTATTAGCTTGCTCACCGCGCATGCTTGCAAGGAACCATGGCGACGACTCTGCATTCTCTGCTCACCCTTCAGCTGCTGGTGCTCCTCACAGTCTGGCCGCTGCATTCCTCTTCACTTGTTGGAAAGCACGACGACCGTGAAGCACTGTTGGCATTCAAAGAGGCGCTCTCAGATGACTCAGGCTCGCTAAGATCATGGAACGGCAGCAGTTCCGACTTCTGCCGTTGGGCCGGCGTGACATGCAGCCGCCGGCATCCGGGTCGCGTGGTTTCTCTGAGGCTGAGCTACTGCAACCTGGGAGGCAGCATCTCTCCTGCCATCGGCAACCTCACCTTTCTTCGGAGGCTTTCTCTGAGGCTGAGCTACTGCAACCTGGGAGGCAGCATCTCTCCTGCCATCGGCAACCTCACCTTTCTTCGGAGGCTTAATCTCAGCCACAACATGCTCTCAGGGGAGATACCGCACACCGTTGGCCGGCTACGTCGTCTGCGCTTTCTTGAATTGGTCAGCAACTCTCTTGCCGGTGAGATTCCTGCAGACCTACAGCCTGTTCGCTTGTTCGTAAACGATCGTAAATTTCCAGCCGGAAACAGTATTTTTCTCTCACACCAAACCAGCCAGCAGTAAATAATCCATGACACGATACGGCCTCCCGAACAGGCTGCTAGCCAACTGTTCCAACCTTGTGTACCTGACAGTAGAGGTCAATGAGCTTCACGGGGGAATCCCTAGTGGTCTGGGGTCGCTATCTCAGCTGCGAGTCCTCTATGTTTCCATGAATAATCTCGTAGGACATATACCTCCATCACTCGGTAACCTCTCTGTACTCCAAAGCTTATCACTCTATCAGAACACACTGGAAGGAACCATCCCTGAGGGTCTTTCCCGTTTGAGATATCTCCAATTCATTGAAGCTGGGAGGAACAACCTCACGGGCACACTTCCACCTCTTTCTTTAACATATCGTCTCTCTGGTATTTCGGTTTCAGCTCAAATAATATGCATGGCAGATTGCCACCAGATGCAGGCAGCCACCTGCCTGACCTTGAAGTGCTTCTTTTGGGTGGCGCTAGAAACAAGAACAACTTTTCTGGAACAATCCCTCCTTCCCTCTCAAATGCCACTAAATTACAAATCCTGGGTCTTGCTAATAACAAATTTGAAGGAAAGGTACCTCCTGAGATAGGGAAGCTCTGCCCAGTGAATGTTCAAATGAGTTGTAACATGTTACATGCTGAGGATGATGCAGACTGGGAGTTCCTTAGATATTTCACCAACTGCACCCGTCTACAGGTTCTAGACATTGGTAATAACACCCTGGGAGGAGTCCTTCCAAGTTTTGTAGCTAATTTCACAGGGCCAATACAGTCGCTACTCATGGGATTGAACTGGATGTCTGGGGTAATCCCTCCAGGTATCGGAAACCTCGTTAGCCTTGAGGACCTAGAATTTGAGGGAAATAATCTGCATGGTGTTATACCTGAGGACATTGGAAGACTTCAGAACCTGACATTTTTCACGCTGGAGGCGAATCTCCTATCAGGAGGTATACCGCCCTCCTTTGGCAACCTCACAAAACTGCTCACCCTTATATTATCAAACAATGAACTCAATGGTTCCATTCCTGAAAACCTTGGTAGCTTGCACAGGTTAATATCCATGACATTATCCTTCAACAGGCTTACCGGTGCTATACCTGGAGTAATATTCAGCCTCTCATCACTAACTGATTCATTGTTGCTTTCTCATAACTATCTTTCTGGTGTTCTTCCTCCACAAATTGGTAGCCTCAAGCATGCGACAACATTGGATCTGTCAAGAAACAACTTATCTGGTGAAGTACCAGGAGCACTTGGAGACTGTGCAAGTTTAGTGTACTTATCTCTAGACGACAATTACTTCACTGGGAGCATCCCTCCATCAATTGGTAATTTGAAGGGCTTGAGCATGCTGAATTTCACAAGAAATGGTCTGTCTGGTAGCATCCCTCAAGAGTTGAGCAACATTTATGGGCTGCAAGAGCTTTACCTAGCTCACAACAACCTGTCTGGAGCCATTCCACAACTTCTCCAGAACTCAAGCGCTCTTGTAGAGCTAGATCTCTCCTATAACCATCTAGATGGTGAGGTGCCGTCACATGGGGTGTTCGCTAACATGAGTGGGTTTTCTGTAATTGGAAATGATGGGCTTTGTGGCGGTGTTGCGGAGCTGAAATTGCCTCCATGTGAGGTCAAGCCATACAGCCACCGAAAACGGTTGCCACTGAAGATTTTTCTTCCAGCCATTGGCGTTGCTATATGTTTATCTCTTCTATTGGTTGTGCTCTTTCTATTCAAAGGGAGAAAAGGACTGGACAGGATCAATGCTACGCAAAACCGTTTGTTGGACAAGTATCCTAGAGTTTCATACCTCCAACTTTTTGAAGCTACGGATGGTTTTGCCCCTACTAATCTGATAGGAGCTGGAAAATATGGATCTGTTTATAAAGGAAATTTGTCCCTTACAGGTGCTAGGGATTCCGTAGTGGCTGTCAAAGTGTTTACTCTTCAGCAACCTGGTTCTTCCAGAAGTTTTTTGGCTGAATGTGAGGCTCTACGACAAGTGAAACATAGGAACTTGATCAATATTATCACCTGTTGCTCCAGTATAGACTCTAGAGGGAATGACTTCCGAGCTCTAGTGTTCGACTTCATGCCCTTATACAGCTTGGACAGGTGGCTGCATCCAAGAAGCAATGAGCAGACACACAAGTTAAGTCTAACCCAACTGTTGAACATTGCGATTGATGTAGCAGATGCACTAGACTATCTTCACAACAGTAGTTGTCCAACAGTGATCCACTGTGATTTGAAGCCTAGCAACATCCTCCTTGGCAGTGACTGGACTGCTTATGTTGCTGACTTTGGGCTTGCAAAGCTGATTGGTGAACCCATGGACCAATCAAATTTGAATATTGGGACTGAAAGCACTATTGGGATACGAGGAACCACTGGATATGTCGCTCCAGGTACCTCCACCGTTCAGAAATCACATTTTTTTTCTAGTCAGTTAAACTGCATTGATTTAGTGTCCTTACTGTACCATCTTCTTATGGCATTGTGCCATTGTCAACTGTCATAATATTTCCATTCCTGCAGAATACGGAGCAGGTGGTCAAGCATCAGTTGCTGGTGATGCCTACAGCTTTGGGGTTACTCTGCTTGAGATGTTCACAGGGAAGGCACCAACTAATGATATGTTCATAGATGGCTTGACCCTGCGCTTGCTTGCTGAGGCAGGGTTACCTGACAGGATATCAGAAATCATTGACCCAGAACTATTGCATGCGGAGTTGTATGACAATGATTCTGAGATACTTAGTTGCTTAGCTTCTGTGATACGAGTTGGTGTCTCATGTTCAAAGGACAACCCGTCAGAAAGAATGAACATGGAACATGCTGCTGCTCAGCTGCACAGAATCAAGGAGTACATTGCGGAAATCCCTTAGGATTTAAATGATTATAATTCACTGTCCTTCACTCTTCCAAAGTGGAGCACTTCTATTGCAACATTATTACCAATGAGGTGGCTCTTTTGAATGATATCTTGGAATTCAGATGGCCTTGTGCAAATATCTGTGTCGCCGGTCGCCACATCAACGGAAGAAGGATAGAACATTGACAAGTTTACCTACTTGTTTGTAAGCTTTTATTATGCATGTGCAATCTTCGTGTTTCCTGAATGCTCAATTATTATAAGCTGTCCAAAATAACTTCCAAGATATATATGCAAATTTCATGCCATCTCATTTTCAGCTCCAATTGTTCCCCCCTTTTGCATGGGTTCAATTTCTCTTTCCATGAAAGACATCCCAATCATGTGCTGTTCTGCAGTGCGTTTGTGTCGATGGAGAACGGGACTTTAATCAACAAGAGAGTTGGATAACCCCCAACGCTATTTTGTATAGACAGCCAATAGGTTGCTTTATTACTTCATCTTCATCATCTGTCGGGGAACTTGAAATTTCAAAGCATTACTGGGGGCGCTTGCACTGCCAGACCATCGAACGATGTGACCATTGTCTCAACCCCTGACACGAGACGATCCATGCCCAGCCGTCACCACCAGGGCCTCCCCATTGCAGTTCCTGACTGACTCGGTGACAAGGATGCTAGACCCGAAGAGTGAGTCCATGGCCTGGGGTCCTCCATAGCTCCACGATCTTGAAGGATAAAAAATCAGATCCCGGAGAATGGCAACAAACAACAAATAAACTTCATAATTGAAGATCAAATATAAAGTGCCCCAAAGCTAATGTTTTTTTCTCAAACTACGAGGAGAGCTGCGTGTCATTTCATTAAGAAGAAAAAAGATACAAAAGGGAGGAAAGTAAGAAACCCCCTCCCAGGCACCCCCCATGGGGTTTATTCAAAACAACATACTTAGAAAATAAACTAGAAAAAACACGACCAGCTACCACAAAACGACCAAGGACCTAGGGATCCAAGACCAATGACCTAGCAAGGAATTCATTTAAGGCCGAAGCTCCTGCTATACACCATAAATTACTCTCTCCCCAAAGCTAATGTTGAAAACCATTCTTGAAGTAAACCATCCAACTTCCTGTGAAATGAGGAAGTCAGACACTGAGAATCAACTGCCTACATGGTACATTACAGCAGGGGAATTCTGATAACATGGAACACATCCTTTTTTAAGGGCAACACATTGTTTATTTTCTTAGAACACAAAACATAAACAATCTGAGCAAACAAGTGCTTTACCTGTACCCTTGGTTTCAAGGTACACCATATTCAACCATCCCCCATTGGCTTCTCACTCTTGGTAGTAAAATTCTTACTCTCACTGTGCCTTCTCCATGCCAAGCTAGCAAAAAAAGGGGTGTTCTACTTCTTTCCCTTGGAAAGACATTCCTGTCATGCATTGTAGTACTGCAAATTTCCTCTAATCTAAGATGCTGTCCTAAAAATAGACACCAACGCCGGGAGATTTAATATTGTCATCTAGTCTGTAAACATCAAGGACGCCTAGCTCGGTCGGTTTGGTGTTGATGTAGTTCGCCTTGATGCCCCTTCCTCCAAACACTCCTCGTGTCCTGGGTTCAACTCCCCATGGGAACGAATTTCAGGCTCCACCGCCTAGGTTAAAAAATCCCTCGCCCTATGTCCCCTCGTGCAGGCCAAACTGGCTGCTTGACCGATTGCCCCACTAACGCACTTGCCGAGAAAGAAGAGGATCCCGCCGTGCTCTTCTTGGTGTCGAGCGTCGCCGTGAAGGTCCCAGCCCGGTTCTCACAGGGTTACGGCACCTGCGTCAGGATGGGGGCGGGGGTTCGGGGGTTTTCTTGATCTGTGTGAGAAGATCTTCTTCTTAAAGGGAAAACCCGGGGGCCGTCATAACCCCCCGCAGGTCAAGTTTTTTTTAGACAATTTGATTCTTCAGACTGGCTGCTTCCATTTTCCTCAAGTATATCACAAGCATTTTCTTTTCGCATTTTCCGCTCTTCAATCACTGCTTCAATTGAGTCTGTGCAATAAAGGCCCCTTGAGTGCCCCTGTGGTCTATCAACCACAATGAATTTATTGCCCTCTCGGCCTCGTTCAGGAAAGCCAGCCCAGACTGCAGAAAGCCATGCAAAACAAATTAGGTGACTAAGATGTAGATGCAACCTTAGGATCACTGACAATTCTATGGACAAATGGCTATCAGAACTTTATCAAGTTCAACTTCAAAGATTAAAATTTGAACATGTGTAGTTATGATTAAAAGTATATTTTAATCACATGTAACATTGTGATACCTCTACAAACCAAGAAAATGAAAAACAGCTGAGGTAGAATCAATGGACAACCACCAGTCCCCAGGTTTCTGATATAATGTGCTTTCATTAACCCAATTAGAGTGTATGATCGGGTTTACAAGAAATTATTCATGACTCTAGTGGCCAGTCTAAGTTTCATCATCTTAGAAGAACACCTAATAACAAAGGTAAATAACTTGGCATGCTGGGAAAGTACAAATTACTGCAAGCTTTTATGCACAATTTATGCCCATGGCCCACAATGAGGATAATCATGCAAAAAAAAATTGCTAGCTGATATGACGTAACAGCTAAAACAAATTCAGCATAGCTAGGAATTTGTAAGACCTGGACTGCAGGCTGCAGCTGTAATATTCAATCATCCATACTGCCCCTACCAAACAAGATTTACATATATATGCAAATCAGTTAAAATATTGTGATAAGTTAAACATTTAAACACCACCATATGAGACAGTATAATGGATCAGGTTTTCCTCTGTACTATATGCAAATTTAAAGTAGAGATTTCACATTGCTTGCTAACATCAGTATATAAATCAAAATTTTTATGTACAAAAATTAGACTAGAACTTTTTCAGAGTAACATACATATGCCAATAAAAAGGTTTGGTACATAAGGCCATAGTGCACAAAATAGACATAAATCACCAAAGTTATCGCATAGACCCTAGATAAATACATATGCCCACAAATAAATGCCCAACCATGGCTGGCAGAGAGAACATGTGACTATTTAGAGTAGGAACAAGGAAATTTAGCAGTCTGCAGCTCCACAAAACAGTTAAGTTCAAACACAACAACTTCATATGACTATTTGCAGCTTCACAAATTCCACTTTCGACTAGGTTGTTATACATTACCAAAGAAGATGTGGTGACGACTGGAGCAGGATGGAAACTCTTACCCCCAAAGTGGTGGAGAACAATTGAAGCTGCAACTGTAACATTGAGAGATGCAGTTCCACCACCATACTGAGGAATGTACACAAAGAAGTCACAGATATCACACTCTTTTTGTGAGAGTCCTGTGCCCTATAGGATGAAATGAACACGAATGGAAGGATTTAGTTCGAATAAAGGGCACTGTTACCTATGCTCTCGTAATGTGTAGTAATAGTAACCTCACACACAAAAGTTTTGTTTTATCTAGTAACTGAAATATTAAAATGAGCAATAAAACATCTTAATGTAAAATATTGGAGTATTGTGGTACAAGTAATGGTTACCATGAAATACATCATTGAGTTTATATCTTCTGTTTGCAAGTATATTCAAGTAATTTGTACAAGTCATGGGATCCCTTTCTGAACTCATCTGCCCTGAGACATGGGATTGGTTTCTCCTTCGTTTACCTTTTCAGAGCAATGTTATGATAGACTACATTTTCCACAAAACTAGTTCAGGATACTGTTAATTGTGATTTCAACACATCTCCATATTCCAGCAAGAGGAAACTGGGATAGCATCATGTGACGGCCGATGGCCCCTTAAAAGAATTTACATTACAGAACTCAAATAGCATCTCTAGCTAACATCTTAATTTTATCCTAGGAATTCTACAATTAATGTTCTTTTTGTAAGAGAGATGCATTTTTCTCCAGAATTACACTTTGGCCAAGCTAATCAATTATTGAATACTATGCTGACTTCAATAGATACCTGACTGAAACATCAAAAGGAATGCTAAATTTAAGGCATTTGGTGTTTGCACACAATTTAGAAGTGCCCAATGCAAATATGTGAGTAACATGGCAGTGAATTCAGTGACTGTATTGAGCTAATTTCCATCTCAGTCCACTAAACTAAGCCATATGATGATTCGCAATTCGCAATTTTGACCATTCAAATTGCATACCAACCAACCTAACTTCACTTCGGTACTGAATGAAGAGAAACCCACCAACCTCATTGCCGAAGAGGAAGGCGGTGCTCCGACGGAATGGGTGTGCGGTCACTGGCTTCGCGTCGTCGGTGATCTCCACGCCGCAGATGTCACGCCCTCTCTCGTCCTGCAACAAAACACGCTGGCATTCAAACTCAGCAAAACAAGCCGAGGACAGGACAGGGGACTAGGGTTTAGGGGTTTGGTGAGGCCAGGGGGCCTGCTCGACGACAGGATGGGCTAGCTTGCCTTGAGGTAGGCGCGGGCGAGGGCGAGGGAGGCGAAGTGGCGGAATCGGAGGTGCGAGGTGGCGCCGTGGCTGCCGAAGGCGCTGACGTCGCTGCGGCCGACGACGACCACCTCCGCGACTCCGAACGCCGTCGCGCTCCGTGGCAGCGTCCCCACGTTGTGGACAACCACCACGCTCTCCACCGCCGCCGCCATGGCCGCCGCGCCTGCTCGATTCGCCGCCGCCGCGTCTGGCTCGGGTTACGCTCGGCAAATGGAAAGAGTTCCCGTGCACCGTCTCACTGATGAGTGGGCCCGGAGCTTAGACGGCGATGGGTTTGCCACGCAGCGGGGCGCACCTGTCATCGTGCTCGTGTTGTACGCTCCAACCCGGAGACAACCGGAGTCCGGAGAGGGTCGGATCCGATCGGAGGCATCCCTCAGCACATACAAGAAGAGCAAGGGGATCTCCTTGATCGGCAGTTCCGCATCGATCCGAAGGTTTGGCGGCAGGCAAGATGTTGGTGGACCTGCTGATCTTCACGCGCGGCGGCCTGATCCTGTGGGCGCTCAGCGGCGGCGGCGGCGGCAAGGGCTCGCCGGTCGACGCGCTCATCCGCACCTGCCTCCTCGAGGAGCGGTCTGCCGGCGACGGGCCCGGCTTCTCCCAGGACGGCAAGCGCGCGCTCAAGTGGGCGTTCCACAACGGGCTCGGCCTCGTCTTCGTAGCGGTGTACCGGCGCGTGCTCCGACTCCTCTACGTCGACGACCTCCTCGCCGCCGTCCGCGCCGAGTTCGCGCGGGTCTACCACCCCAAGCGCACCACCTACGATGGCTTCGGCGACGTGTTCCGGCAGCTCCACCTCGAGGCCCAAGCGCGAGCCGAGGAGATGAGCAGGCCTAATAAGCAGAAGGCCGTTGATGCTGCGCCGCCCCGTCGTCCGCGGCCACAACCTGCCGTCCACAATGCTCGTGGCGATTCTGAATCTGACGGCAATGGTGATGGTGATGGGAGCAAGCAGGATGCCTCCGATGGCATCTCCGAGGAGAATGAGGAGAGCGGAGCTGATGCCAAACCCAAAGATGGCCCGGCCTTCGATCTGAGTTTCTTCTCGAATCTGCGAACAAGGTTCATCCACAGGAACAAGAATAATACTAACACCAACAAGCCGACCAATAATAAAGATGTTAATAAGAGGAAAAACCGTAGGGATTGGAACGACAACATCAATGGGCATTCAGACATGAAGCTGGATTTCTCAGACCTAGCCGATGAGAGCAAGCGGGCGGATAATGCGCGAGTTAATCAGGGACAGAACAAGATCGATCTTGCTGAAACGGTTGAAGATGGCCCAAGAACCAAAGGATGGTTCTCCTCAGTGTTCCAGAGCATTGCAGGTGGCAACAGCGTAATCAAAAGGCCCGATCTGCAACCCGCGCTCAAGGCTCTCAAGGACAGGCTCATGACCAAGAACGTGGCAGAGGAGATCGCCGAGAAGCTCTGCGAGTCCGTCGCGGCAAGCCTCGAGGGCAAGAAGCAGGGGTCTTTCACGAGCACAGCATCCACCGTCCAGGCCGCCATGGAGGCGGCTCTGGTGCGCATCCTGACCCCAAGCCGGTCCATCGACGTACTGAGAGACGTGCACGCGGCCAAGGACAGTGGGAGGCCGTACGTGATCGTCTTCGTCGGGGTGAACGGCGTCGGCAAATCCACCAACCTCGCCAAGGTCGCCTACTGGCTCCTCCAGCACGACCTCACCGTCACACTCGCGGCGTGCGACACCTTCCGGTCCGGCGCCGTCGAGCAGCTGCGCACCCACGCGCGCAGGCTCCAGATACCCGTCTTCGAGTAGAGGGGTACCAGAGAGACCCGGCGGTCGTGGCGAAGCAGGCCATAGAGGAAGCGGCGCGGAGCAGGTCAGACGTCGTCCTTGTCGACATCGCTGGGCGTATGCAGGACAACGAGCCGCTCATGAGGGCGCTCTCCAAGCTCATCGCCGTCAACAGCCCGGACCTGGTCCTGTTCGTCGGAGAGGCGTTGGTTGGGAACAACGCCGTCGATCAGCTCACCCAGTTCAACCAGAAACTCGCGGACCTGTCGCCTGTTCCTGCAGAGAGGAGGTTGATCGATGGCATCCTGCTCAGCAAGTTTGACACTGTTGACGACAAGGTTGGTGCGGCGCTCTCCATGGTTTACGTGTCTGGAGCTGCGGTCATGTTCGTTGGCTGCGGTCAGTCTTACACTGACCTCAAGAAGCTGAATGTCAAGTCCATTGTTAACACCCTCCTTAAGTGAACGCTAATACTACTGTGTACTCTGCCTGTTTGCCAACCCTCCTTGTTATAATCTGTTCTTTAAGTTGGACGTGTTATATGTTTGTTACACATTATTATACAAAGTGCCATGAATAAAACTTGCCGTATGTGCACTTATATATGATAGAAAAGAACAAAAATTCTTGGATTTGTAGGGTTGAAAATTGACGGTTTGTTAAGGGCACTTTTTAGTTTTTTTTTTCATTTGTTTCCGAAGTTTCTGTAACCCCCTAGGCCGTAGAGTCCTCAGTAGCTAGCAAATAGAATCCACTATTCCAATGCAAATCAGCATGTGCTGTAAAGGTTTATATACAATGAAAGAGAGATTTTATGGGATAAATAATGACAATACTTTGAAGCGTGGAGTGCTATAAAGCACCATCTCTAGTTGAGGTGCTTGATGATTTTCGTATAAGGTGTAATCAACAAAAAAAAAAAATCATGTGTTGTCCTCAAGCCCACAGTCATTCTTATCTCTCTCTACATGGTCCACCGGTGCAATCAACAAAAGTGATTTTAAAGTTTTGTCATCTCTCACTCTCAACCTTCATGAAACCGTGGCTAACCACGCATCTATCGAGGCAAACCTCTCCGTGAGGCTTCGAGTGGCAAGGCAGACAGACGTTGTAATCAAACACAACTTTCCTATCGGGTTGTCTTGGCCTACTAGAGGTCATCTCCACTCTCCATCCCGAGGGCGCGTGAGCCACCTAGGTAGCCCCCGAGCCCCTATCCGATTAGTAGAAGTCAAATAGGGTGTTGGTTGCTGATAATGGTACCTACGATACAAAGTATTCATCATCAAGTACCATCCCAAAATAAAAATTTGGGAGTGATAGTGTCCCACTAGCGATAACCCAACAGCGTAGCGCTAGCAATAACCCAACAGGGTAGGGGAGCTCGGTGCCTCTCACTCCTAGTCTTGGTCTGTGAACGTTGGCGGCGACGTTGTGGCTAAGAGCAATAACATGGATGCAAGGGTGGACAAGAAGGTAGTATTGTCACCACGTAGCACTAAAGTGGGTAAGACATGGAGGAGCTCAGTCGTTAAAACTCTCAAGTGGCAGCGTGAGATATGGAGGAGCCCAGTCGATAAACTCTCCATTGGTGGCAGCGGAGATTGATTGTTGGATAAATAAAGCAAAGAAGAGGAAAAGAAGAGGAAGGATGCTTGGATCCTAGGACTAAAAAGATAGTTCTAGGTTTTGGATGCTTAAATAGAAAGACTAAACATAGATTAATAAAAACTAAGACGGACTAATTGATGGTTATAATCTTAGTCTCATAATAAATAAGTTTCCGAGATTCTAAATTTCTCAAACAAAAGATAATGACTCTGTTCGTTTCGATGAAATTTGGCTTATGCCAATGTTTACGCTGATTTGTTGTGAGAGAAAAATATTTTTCATTTCGCTAAAAAACAAGTCACACCTCATATTCCAGAGACACCCAAAAAAATCCACAGTCGAACTACCATAATGTTTAGAAATAGTGAAGTAGTAAAACAGAACAGGGCCAATATTTTACAAAAAAAAAAACCCCTTTAATGCTAGAGATCGAGCATGGATCCCACGGGCCACGGCCACATCGCACACAGCAGCAGGGTCGCACGACTTCTTTTTGGTGACAAATTTACAAGTTTGTCTCGGCGGAAATATCGATTTCGCGGAAGTTACGAAAAACATACTGTACCTTTCTGAAGGTACGCCATTGGTCAGGATGGCAAAAAGGTGATTGTCAGCGTATATAAAAATAAGTGGAATCCTTCGGCCTTGTTTGGCTGATCTTGAAGCCGGATTGATCCGTTTTTTTTTTTTTCTAGAAGTGTTTTCTTTCCCAAAATTTTAACATAAACAGTGTTATCCTCCGTGAACAGTGATTTTTTTTTTCCCAGCCGAACAAGGCCTTCGTTGGGCCTCTACGCGTGCATCTCACGTGACTGGCTACACCACCACCACCACCCACAAATCTAGAAGCACACAGAGATAAGCTAAGCTAAAATTAGATTCAAAATCTCTGCCCCTCTTCCTGCCATTCTGGGTCCTCAGAAACCGACGCATCTCCTCCCGTGACAGCGACGGAGACAACGGCGACGAGGTAAGCGCGCGATTCCCCTCGAGATGGACTTTCCTTATTCTTAGTTGCTTTGCAAGCTTCGGCTGCTCGTCTTAATCCGCGCCGATTCGCTCTGCCTGGCGCTAGGCTGATTGATTAGTTTCGCTGGACATCAAATAGCTGGTGGGGGAATTGGGATCAGGGGAGCGAATTCAGCTGGGACGCGTTATTTGTCTTGCTGTTTCCCTCGATCGATTGAAGCGTATTGGGTCCGATCGGGTTTGCGCCGCGAAACGGGGGCTTCATTGGACCCCTGGCATTCAGAAAATTGGCGTTCCTCGAGCAATCCGGTTGCGAGCATGCTGAGAAGCACTTCGTGCTTCGTGGAGGGCTTCACCTCGCTTCCCAGGTGCATAGATTGGGGAAATATTGAACTGCAGGTAGCGCTGTGACGTACGAGCTCATAGAATTTGGGTTCCAGGGGGTCTTGCGGATTATCAGCCAAAGTACCATCATAGTGTGGGGATTAATGATGTGGTTGATGGAAGCAGGCGAGGATTAATAAGGCACCGAACGCGGGATAGACATATTAGCTTGCTGAATTGGTGGGGCTAAAAGATGCAGTAGTGACCAAAGCCTGAGGATGTTTAGAATACATCCTGTCCTTTGTCATACAGCGAAGCTCAACTGATCAGGTTGTTTCCCCTTTCTGTATAGCAACATGTCATTTATCGCCCCCACACGTGGCAAGTGATGACTATGTTTAAATAAATATGATTTTAGAATAACGAATCATGAATCAATTCCCTAAACAAATGGTGTCCCTTAAAAGATGGCCTCTCTAGACAAGCTTCAAAATCTGAATTCCTTGTGTGCATTATTTCAATATGGCTATTTGCAAAGACTCACTGGTGGTGAAATTCTTGTAATAACCATCGCGAATGTAAAGGACTTAGTGACTTACACAGCAATACCAAATTTTCTTATAACATGTTTCTGAAAAGACTGTTGATACTACTATTAGGGTTTGCTACTAACTTCACTTTTCTGGTGTAGATATTTTCAGTTTTCATCATTTCAACCTAAGGCTTTAAGCAAGTAAAGCATGCTTATGCTTCCAACCTTAGGGCAGAATATATTAATCATCTTGGAATAAAGAACACCTTCTTGGTAAGCACTAACTCCTGCCTTTAGTCACTGCCGTTTTGCCAAAGTACAATTGATCCCCCCCTCCCATTTTATTTGAATTTTTATGATTAGAGCTGTTGCTTCTCCTATGAGTCCTTGCTTGTTGGTGTCATGAAATATTACATAATGTCATGACAAGCAAGCTAACTGCATTAAAACGATTGTATTCTATCCATGACACACCAAACACGTTCCTGTTAGATTTATCATGCAGAAGCTAAATCTGAAACTCCTAAGTTAGACAACTATATGTATTAAATATAATTTTGTCTTTCCCTTTTTATTTTATAGGTTGGGCATTTAGAAACTAAAAACTCTGAGTGTCAGTTTAAATTATCTGCCACTTAAAAAGTTCTATGTGCACTCTAAATCTGCAAACTCTGACCAGGTAGTCTTATTTAAATTAATCTCTATTGTCTTGAAACTGAATATTAATATCTTCCGAAGTACTTTAGTGATATAATTAAAGTCATAGAGGAATTTCTTAGCTCAACTTACCTTGAAAGCGACATTTTAGAATTTACTATGTTGTTGGGTGACGCGCCGTGTCGTGATCTGGGCATGGTGTCAAGTGAGCAAGGATCGGATCATCGCTTCCTTAGTGGCGCGCTACATCGGTGCCCGGGTGTAGTAAAAAATGAGCAAGGGTCTTCACATTTGAGTCGACGGGTGCGAAGGGTAAGGAAGCTAGTCGAACAAACTAGGATCCGTTTAGTTAGTTGGAATGTAGGGTCGCTTACAGGTAAGTTAAGAAATTAGTTGATACCACGACTAGGAGGCGTGTAAATATATTATGCGTTCAAGAAACTAAATGGAAGGGTCAGAAGGCGAAGGAGGTGGACAATACAGGTTTCAAGCTTTGGTACACAGGTACAGTCGCGAATAGAAATAGAGTAGGAGTTTTGATTGATAAGTGCCTCAAGAATGGTGTGGTGGGAGTAAGAAGGTAAGGAGATAGGATTATCTTAGTCAAGCTTGTCGTTGGTGATATAGCCTTGAACGTAATTAGTGTGTATGCCCCCCAAGTAGGCCTCGACGAGAGTGCTAAGAGACAGTTTTAGAAAGACTTAGATGGCCTAATTAGAGCTGTACCTAGTAGTGAGAAGCTTTTTATAGGAGGAGATCTTAATGGGCATGTAGGTACTATAAGCGCAGGTTTCGAGGCAGTTCATGAAGGTTTTGGGTATGGTAGTAGGAATCAGGAGGGGGAGGAAGTTCTGGACTTCGCGGTAGCTTTTGACCTGATGATAGCCAACACTTTCTTTAGAAAGAAAGAATCTCATCTAGTGACCTTTAGTAGCGGACAACACTCTAGCCAGATTGACTTTGTCCTCGCAAGAAGAAAGGACAAACGAGCATGCTTGGGTTGCAAGGTGATACTAGAGGAGTGTGTTGTTTCTCAATATAACCTTTTGGTGGCAGACTTTCGTTTTCAGGTGCGTGCTCGTAGGGATAAACAAGCTAAGATTGAAAGAACAAAATGGTGAAAACTGAAAGGGGAGACGTCAGAGGTATTCAGGGAAAGGATTATCAAAGAGGGCTCTTGAAAGGAAGAAGAGGACAAACAATATGTGGGAGAAGATGGCAACTAACATTCGGAAGGTGGCCTCAGAGGTGTGTGGAGTAACCAAAGGAAGTGGAGGCGAGGCTAAAGATACTTGGTGGTGGAACGAGGAAGTCCAAAGGGCTATTAAGGAGAAGAAAGAATGTTATAGACGCTTGTACCATGACAGGAGT